AAGCCGAGCCGCCGCGTCAATAGCGGTGTGCTGTTTGGGTATATAAAAGGGAGCCGGAATATTTGTAATGGCAGCTCCGCGCTGCGTTCAGAGTATCACCTAGCCGGTCACTCCCAAAAAGAGCACTCTAACTTCATAGCAATGGGAATGTACCGATGAAGCTCTGCTTCAGGTTAAGTATTGTGTTATTATTTCTGCTGTATTTTTAGCAGTTTCTTCTCCTTATCCTTTTTTCTTCATTTTTGAAAGGCAACCCGGCTGACCTTATCGGTCTGTCCTTATCGGTTTTATTTTGGTCAACGGTAATAGTCAATGACAGTCGACATAATTAAATTTCATATCGATATTCTTCTGATCATAGACTTTATATACTTTTTTAGTTTTTAACAATAAACCTAAATTAACTTTAAGTCTATGTCAGTTTCACAGCCTTGAAGAGGGTATTTTAAATTATGCTGAGAGGTGGCTAGGACAGCTGTAGTTTTTTGATAATTTTGCATCCATCTATATTTGTAAAACTGGTTGTCTTAACTGAATGAATTGGTGATCACACACGTCAAGCTTTTAACTCAAATTTTTACTGTAGTAGTAATGTAATACACTTGCACGCTAAGACTCTTTGAAAATTTATTTACGTGCTTATCAATTTTCTAAGGTTTAATGGACAAAGTTTAAAGATTCTTCCAAGCGGCCTCAAACTAATTTTCATACAAACTGAAACTGAAAATAAATAGGTATTTTTAGCGATTTTGAAACCTTCACAAAAACTATTAAATTATTTTGATTCAGATCCAATTGGGTTTAAACTTATTTTCGAGGTAGTCGAAGTTGAATGTTTTCATCCGATAGGCTTTAAATATATTTTCAATGATATACATTATTTAAGAACGACTGCGTTTTACATTTATTTTTTAAAACCTATCCCATAAGCGAAAAATGGGCGGAAAACTATTGATTGAAAATTTTTTGTCGATTTTATCAGATTGACTTCGATTGCTTTTTAAAAAATCGAAGTAAATGAGGTTGTATCATAATTCATAAATTGAAGAAAACCCTTTGCCCAAGTAAAGGAGGCTCAATAATAGATCGTTTATCTATTTCAGTAAGCCATTTCAAAATGATGACATTTTTATTGATAATTGAAATTGTAGCTTTTGAATATATTGTACCATAGAAAAGATATTATCCTTTTATATATGTATGCACATATCATCATTAGGAATGATACACACAAATTGAGGTAGGTTTCATTGAAATTGTGAAAAAACCTTTCAATTCTACCATATTGTTGAGACCCCCTTTTTTTATTTAAAATAAATATTTTCATTTACACTCAACAGTTTGAATTACATTTTTATCCGCCCCTAGTTATGTGATAAAAAGCAGTGCTTTACATAAATCATAAAATAACCTACAAAAAAATAATGTAATTTTTGATCGAATTCAAAAGTCTCAAATCAATAAAGTAATTTTATATAACTTATATTAAGTTTCATACATGTTATAAGCAGAAGCACAATAAAGATTTTAATTTTATTTTAACCCTTTTTATACCCTGAACTTATCGAAAATGGGTAAAAATGAAATAGTTTTGTGCAAATGTATGTATGTAACAAGCAGAAGCAATCATCTCCGACCATATAAAGTATATATATTCATGGTCAGCATCAACAGCCGAGGCGATTTAGCCGTGCCCGACTGTGTCATTGATCTTGGAACCTATGAGAGCTAAAGATTTGAAATTTTGACCAATTTTAAATGGGTGTAATAATAAAGAAAAATACATGTAAAATTGATCTAGTCGGTAGTGCCCGAAGATAGAAGATAAACCAAACTGAACTAGAAGATAAACAGAAATCCGCGAGCCCCCGAGCTACCTTTATAAATAGGAAATATATTGTTAAATAGGTTATTCGGTGCTTTTAGTCCGGTCTTTATACAATTTCAAGAAGATAAATATAGCACCGAAATGTAAAATAATGTAATCTCTATATATATAACTGTTTGTCCTGACTGACTGACTGACTCAACGCACAGCCCAAACCGTAAGAGCTAAGAAGCTGAAATTTTCACTGTAGCTACCTTATGTGATGTAGGTGCACGTTAAGACGGGGTTTCGGGAAATTCCACCCGCAAGTGTGGCAAAATCGCGAAAAACGTTTGTATGTAACTTTTTTGTTTACCATCCGATCGGCCTCAAACTTATTTTCAAAGATCTTTGTTCAAATTCATTTGAGGGGTGTTTCACACTTTTCGAAAAATCCGTTCCTCCTTGGTGGAAATGGAGGTCAAAAATTTGGTGGGTGACGTTTCGCGCTCAAATTCATTTCCAGTGATCTATATGAAAAATCATTTGAGACGTGTTTCTCACTTTTCGCAGAATTCAAACTTTTTTCGGGTGGAATGCGACTCAAAGATGTTTTGTACGAAGTTTTAAATTGTGTCCGATTTGCTTTAAGCTTATTTTCAAAGCTCTCCATAAGAACTTAATGAATACGTATTTCAGCGAATTGGGAAAGTCCACTCGCAACAGTGCTAAATTGGCGGAAAACGTTTGCATGAAAGTTATTTGTTTACCGTCCGATCTGTTTCAAAATCATTTCAATTTTGTTTGAGAACATTGATTTTATAACATACGTGCCACGGGCAAGGCCGGGTTATACCCGCTAGTATATTATATATTTTTAAAGCCTTAAAATATGTTATTTTGCAAAAAAATACTGGGAAAAAAGTGTGATTATAATTTATCATTGGATCGATTTAAATTTCTTAAATCCTTAAGTAGAAGCCTATTAAGCGTGATTGCGAAAAAATAAAGTCCGCTGAGTGAAAGTCATATTTGGCATTGGAAGAAAGTAATAAATTTGTTGGATAAAACCCGCTATTTATTTAAAACAAAAATTACCTAATATAAACGATATAGTGCTCAAAAAATGTTTAGAAAGCAAGGTTTTTAATATAATAATGCCAGCCTTATTTCAATTGAATAGGTTATTTTTCTGGTAAGTGTTTAGGAAAATTCAATACAAGCAAAATATAAAAAACTAAGGTGAGTTACGCCCATACATTTGAGTCTGACAAAAGATTTCTAATGAGGATTTTATCTGATATTTCACTCTTCAAACGCCATGCCAGCAAATTGGCTTTCTGCTCTCCAAAATCCACACGAATGCTGACACGAGCAACGAAATCAGTCGCCAGCCTGCCTTCAGCAAAGCTGGTCGATGCTGATCTGCGTTGCTCTCAAGTGCACTAAATTAACAATTTTTTTACTCACAATCAATGCTTAGAATATGCTTAATCCATAATATGCATTATTTACAGTCAATTTTTAGCGCTTTCGCTTTTATTAATTTTTGTCAAGCTGCAAGTAGCGTTTTATTGTGTGGCGTTACTCATCTTAGTACTTGTAATGTCTTTGATACAAGTCTAAATGAGAACAGCTGTTGACTCCCTTTAGTTGTCTAACGAACTCAGTGCTCTCGCAAAGCAGTGAAACAGTGAGAGACAACCTACGCACTATCTCATAACCAGTGACGAGTAACCGTAAGTCCCGATGAAACCAAATATCAAAACAAAACGATGAAAACAACAGGGTACAGCATCGCGTTAGGGGATTAAAGAATAGAACCAGAAGTAACAGAACCAAGAACAATGCAATCCCATTCCAAGCCTATTAGTTGATGCTTTTTTCGACTGCAGCCCCGACGGGCCCCCGATCCCATCTTTTTCAACTGGTATTTGAGATTGCTAAGAAATAAAGTTCAACCAATGTTCAGGTCGAATTATTATTCGAAATATGTGGTGGTCACCTTGCAATATTTTTCTTATACTTTACCGCCTCAAAATATTTATGCATAGTAAAAGAGGACCAAGATATTGTATGGCAACTGCTCACCAAGCTTCCATCCAGCCAACAACCTAGGACATATACACACAATCTTGAACTTTGCCGACGAGGCACGCAGCATTCGACTTCGCTCGTATTTGCGGTGGTTTGGTTTTTCTTTACTCATCGCATCTATGGACGGATACCATTTGACCAAAAAAAGAAACTGAAAATACACACAACTAACTGCATGCATGTACACATCTACTTTTATATACAAAGGTATTTGCATGTATGTACATATACATATCCTCATAGAGCAAGATTTGAATATATGACCAAAAGAAAGTAGGCCTGCTGCTACGGCCTAGAAGGATATGCTCCCCGCAAAGCCGACCGTCCGACCAGCCTACCGCACGAAAGTTGCGTCGTCGTCAATGCCTATGTGTCTGAATTGTGTGCGAAGTTATGTTTGTGTATGTGTCCGTGTGCATCGTTATTGTCCAGCTTGTCCCTGAGCACGGCCAGTGCCTGTGGTGCGGCTGGACGATGCTAGCGTAAGCGGCAGCGAGAGCACGCTACGTCTTCGCCGCCGTCTTGGCCGTTATTAATCATTGTACATTGGGCTGTCACAGAAAACGGCCGCGAGTACGCCAACAGCAACAACGGGTAGAGAGCGAGAGAATTCTCAGCGGCAACGTCGTAAACATCCACACGCACACACAAACTTCAGAGCAAGGAAACAGAATAACGACAACAAAACTGACCATACGAGTGTAAACAAACGCGCACGTGTACTCATTCGCTCACTCACTCACACAGCCGTACGAACACACACATGCTTACGCACAAAGCCGCCGCGCTCAGGAGAAAATACTCGTGCCACGGAAATTCGCCGCGCTAAAATCAAAATTCGCTCACGATTTCTGCGCTCGCTGAGTCGCGGTAGTTTGTCGCCAGACGCTTGCTGTTTAGGTTCGCAGGACACTGGTAGACGGCATAGCGGTCATATCCTTTCGACAGCCGGTCACTCAACACGGTGTGCGTTGTCGCGGCTAATTTTCGCGATTTCGTTTGACATTCTCAGCTATCTACATAATATCGAAATATTTGCCAGTGTGGAAAATAATTTAGTTGGTTAACAGTGTTGTGCTTCCATTTTTAAAAAATATAATTACAATATTATATAAATTTGAGATAGAAACAAAAGCGAATTTTAGTAAAATTATTAACCAATTCAAACTTTTTAATTAATAAATTAATTAAACATATTAGGGAAGGCAAAACTTTAGTAAGATTCAGGCAAAGTGTTTTAACGCGAAAATAATAATTATTTTCTAAATCGCCGAGTGCAGTCGGTCGATTTCATAAACCTTTTTTCGCTAAGGTGTTAAAATAAAGGTTTGTATAAATTACAAGTTTAGTTTAATCGCAATATTATATATAATTTAAACTATATATAACTTTATATTGGATAATTGACTTGCATATTAGTACAAGTATATGCATAAGTGACAAGTTGTGGTAAAGTTATATCACGAGTCTTATACATTAGCTCTTCAGGTAAATGCTCTTCATTTCTCAGAATACATACGCTCCTAAGACATTCGGACTAAGTTTACACAAATCTTTATTTCAAAGTGAAGTTCTCTTTATTTTATAAATAAATTAACTTTTTTTAAGCTTACTAGGTTCTAGCAAGGGTTTTTAGGGTTTTAAACGAAAATGAATTAGATAATTTATGATGAACGCAAAAAAAACGACTAAATAAATATCACTTTCGTAATAGTATACCATTGTATTTTCATAGCATCAAGTTTCTTTGTCAAAAAATAGTTCCTTTGGATTTGTTAAGACTTTTCCGATGTTGGCTTAATAATTGAAAATTACAATTTAATATTTATGTTACTTGATTCAGATAGATTTGATAAATTTATTTTTGTTTACAGTCCCACCGCTAAGAGAGGCTACAACATACTTTCAAAAAATTCGATTGTTTATGTTTAATTGCGAACGGAATCGGGATAAGAAATCCAAAAATCATAATATTCTTCTCTCGCCTATGCGTGTCTGATAAGTATTCCGAATCAGAGTTGTTAAGAAAAAAACGTTCTCTTATAGTTCAGTACATATAGACAGACAGACAGAGAGGTGGACGAACGTTCCCACATCGATTTGGCTCGTTGTCCTCAATGATAATATATGGTTATGTCGGATATGCCCTCTTCTCTTTGTTTCATATACTCGTATTTTCATTTGATCCTTTTTACTCATTTTATGAATACTGGATAGAAAGGTTTGTAGCCCGTCAATGTAAAACCAACTTAAAACAGGTTGGCCCCCGGCAATAAAAAATGTGGACGTGCCCAAAAATTTTGATGCCATCTTTCAAGGAGATAATCCTCTTATAATGCAAATGAGAAGTAGTTTAGCTTACAATGATGAAAGATCAGTAATTTTCTCTGTACTGCAGTCGATGAGTGAGAATCCAAAGTCCCATTAATAGTCTATTACCTTACCTTACCTTATTACCTTACGTAAACCTTAAAGATTGCAATTTGTGGGAGCGAAAGAGACATTTGCTGAATCTTAAAACACTATGCGTCGCGGATAATTGTAACATATTCATATATTTATGTGCTAGATTTAATGTTGTTAAAAACACGTTATGATGATATCAGAAAGGCATTGAACAATTTTATTAATATTGTAATAAAGAATATTCTTCTTAAAACATTGAGTTATTTGGATTTCTGAGACTGCCTGATGACGATATACAATTTACACAGCCTTACAGATATATACATACATACATAATAACACACAAAGGCACTATAATTCAGAATATTCATTACCCTTACAAATAATATAAAACCTTTATTGTTGAATTACATTTGATATGGTATTCTAATGTGTGAATATGCCAAAAAGTACCCTCGAGTTTTTTATATTTTGAGGGATGTAGAATAGGTACTAAAAATTGTACATAAAAAAATAATAATCAACTTTGACCCTGAACCGGCCACCTTAATATTAGGGCGTATACTATTCGAGAATCTAGAAACTGTAAACAGAATGGACTATATGTACATATATACTATATATACTATATATACAGAATCAGAATGTGAGTGTTAAACTGCATTCGATTTGTGATTCAAACATTTAATAGTAGTCCATAACGATGTCACGGAAGCCAATGAGCTAAAGCAAAAAAAAAACTCTCAATAGTTATAATGAGCAAAACACGCGAAATAGAAAATCGTGTAACAAGTAAAACGCTCCTATTGCTGTAGTTACACACTACTCATTGCTTTAATTTTGCCGACCTCCAACAGGTGATTCCCACACACACTAGCACATAATATATACTATCTCCACTTGGTGGCAGCAGACAAAACAACATTTTTTTGGTATTACTCTTTAAGCCATTTTATTCTTTTATGTATTAACCCAAACAGACAATAACAAACACACGCACACACATACACACACACGAAAAAATTCGTATCCTACAGTATTGTTCCCACCATTTGCACATACTTATCCACAAATGTATTAGTACACTCCGAGTAGTTTCTGTCGTTGACCTGCATTCACCAGACTGTGCTGTGCCATGTCTCCCACCTCCTACAATCCCAGTGAGAATCTGTGTCTGAATGGGTTCGATACGAGGCCAAAGCGACGATAAAAATAGTAAATACAATAAAAATTATAATTGTATATAGGAAAATCACAAGCTTTAACACACACTGACACACAAAAAGCCGGCCGGCCATTATATTTGTATGTATGTTAGGAGTATGTAAGAAACGTTAGTGTTCACGTATGTAACCGAGTGTGGTGGTCTACAGGAGCTCTAGACACATTCACAGACGAACTCTGGCACTCACTTATACAGACAAACATAGACAAACTTGCTGTAATTCTTTTATATACACATATATTTCTTTCATCTTTTTCTGTTGTTACCAGTTTTTTTCATATACTGTCCCAGTTCAGTTCGTGAAAAGTTTAATGGCACGCTGGGACTGCTCGAAAGAGAAAGTACAAATTCTTTTACTTTAGCCTTTGCCACAGCATGCGGAATGGTAAAAGACCTTGCAATTTTTATACAGCTGTAAAGTTTTATTCGATGTGTTTTAGTGGCATGTGGGCAGCGATACAGCCATTGGTTATGAGCCTCCATGTCTGTGTGTGCACATAAATATATACATATGTTCACATCGGCAGGTTGTTGAAATGGAGGTTAAGGACATAAACATGTGTAAATAAGCCGCTAACATTAGCGGCAAATCCTGTCAAATTAGAACAGCTATTTAATTCGAATTGGCCAAATATATATGTACACGTAAATGTATTTAATTTATGAATGTACACAAATATATGTAGAAAAATAACAAATGATATGGCAAAACTATTGACTGACTTTGTAGCGAACTCAGTTGATAACAAAATGCACTTATTTAATTTGCAGGAGACTTCAAATTAACAAATTTATTGAAATTCCTACAAATAAATATGTCCGTCTTACATGTACATTTATATATGTAATTAACTAAGTTGCATACGGAAGGCAAGGACTGCAGCTTCTTGTGAGCAGACCTATTGATACTCTTCGACTTCGTGTCCCTCTCTTAAGCAAAGCTCTCTTTACATTTCAACTCTTTGTTCACTTTATCGCATTTAGACTCACACACACATACACGCCAAGTGCCGTCTTGCTTCTCAAACTTTTGTTTTTCACGTATGTTGTGTGGCTTTGTGTACACCAAAAGAAAGAAATCATGTGTCAGTCATGCGCAAAACGTGTTTTACATTTTAAAATCGCGTGTCTCGCTCCTTCAAATAGGAATAGCAGCGGACAAGCTCCTTTGCATTCCTCGCACTTCCACTTGTTAACTGAGACGAAGGCGGAGCATACTGTCATTCGCTTTTCTGCCAAGATACCGACGGCCTGCCATCATTTCGAGTCTTACCTATAACCACTTAAGGCTTGGATTACGAACGGAGGTTTCAGACCTGGCTTGGAAGCAGCTCTCATTCTCAACTCAGCTGGTGTTCCCGATGCACCTGATGCTGCTACTGATGCTACTACTGGGAGGGGGAAACGCAACAGGCTGTAACTGATTGAGCATGGGGTCACTGCTACTGGATGGGGATGTTTTTGGCCAGCAAGCGAGAGCTTCCCACGTAAAACTTGATGTCGTTGTCGTACTCCGTATGCACGAAGGCAGGTAAACAAGTTATAAATCGTGTGCCTCGTGCGCTCGGCTCCAACTCGTGAAGCAGCCGATGACGACGGTGTTGTTGGCGAATGGTTTTTCTTGTTGCTTATTCGTAGATTCTCGCGGCTCTATGTCTGTGTGCTGCAATTTCGAGCAGGCGCGAACTCAACGCACCAATTAGCATATTCCATTGTCTCTATGTGTGTGTAAGTAGATATGTCTCCCAGGCCTTTTCATTTTTGGCATTCCTGCGACCTCGTCGTCGTCGTGAAATGGCTTTTTAGTGGCATGGGGGCGTGCCACAGCTCATTTCGCCGTGAAGATACAGCGCTGAAGCGGTATGAGAATATTTGATGTCTGTATTGGTATGTGCGAGTGCTCAACTTTGCATGCATTTGTATATAATAAATATGCGGGTGTGTGTGCGGTTTATTTACATCTACCTCGCGAGTTGTCCGTAAAACTTTAAAACGCGACGCGATTTTATTGGAGCTTCGTGCGAACGTGCGACTCGCTCTTGCCTTCCACACGATGCCACAACAACCCCAGTAGAAAGTACATGGCGCGCGCACAGAACATTCGTTCCACATATGTATATGGCATGTAGTTGCTCCTGGCGAATGGAAACGCATTATTTTGGTTATGTGTTGCATTCATTATATGCGTACTGTGGATGCGTATGCATATTAAGTGTGTCACAGCCACTGTAATTAATTTAAACTTTTTTTGTATCTTGTTCTTTCTTGCAGAAACCAAACTGTTTGATAACGGCTTGAAGTTGGATATTTCCAGCTATTCCCACATGAACATACGCATGGGCACAAAGGGCAAGCGACCGTTGCGTAGCTTGACCCCCAGGGATAAAATTCATGCGATTCAACGTATCCACGATGGTGAATCCAAAGCGTCGGTGGCCAGGGATATAGGTGTACCCGAATCGACTCTACGTGGTTGGTGCAAGAATGAGGACAAGCTACGGTTTATGTCCCGCCAATCAGCAGCTGACAAGATGTGCGCCGATTCTTTAGTGGATAAATTGGATGGTTCTGCGGGTATATTAGGGCCACCTGAAAAGCGCCAGCGATTAGACAACACTCTGCCTCTAAATTTTTCTAATAAAATGAACTTTGATGAACTTGCCTTCAAGCGATCACCTCTTACTGGTTTGGACTATAGTACAAATAAAAGTCTATCAGACATGAGCTATAACGGACTACCAGTTGATTATGTGGGCTTTAACGGAGCGATCAAAAACAAAGTTTTTGGTGCAGATATATCCCGGTCTGGTCCTGCTGATCCATCGTTAAATGCCATAAGCCCTCTTTCGAGTCTCACACATCTGTCGGGTCTCACCGGCATATCTCAGTCTCCGCTAGCTATCAGTTTTAATGAGCTGACCTCAAATCTAAATCTGCTGGCTCAGCTTAACCCCGGCTTAGCAGCTATGTCAGGATTAAATAGCTTTGCAGCGACAGCTAACACATTGCGTAATACAACAAAAACTAATGTTCAGTCACAGCCACAACTGCAGAGTCCGCGAAGCGAAAACGGCGATCGGGACCGGACTCCAGCGCTGTCCGTCAAGAATTGGGCAAAACAAAAGCCACCTGGTCCTATGTCAACCACTGGAGACTGTGACATAAAAAGCGGAAACATAAAGAGTCCGAGTCCGTCGCTTGCGCCTTCACTGGTTGGTTGTGTAGCACCGCTGTCAGGTCTACCTGATGATCCTCTGCTCTACTGGCTTAAATCCCAGCAGGCAATGCTGGGACTAAACAGTCTGTACCCACCTCCAGTGGCAATAGGTGTTACAAGCCCACCAATACGCTCCTCAACCCCACAACAGATAAATCAATATTCCAACACTCCCCCCGTTTCTTCGGCACCACTGGCTCCATCATCACCAGCAGCTAGAAGTTTGGATGACAAGAGTTCGGCGTGGTATAACTGGTGCAAAGCATTTGGAGCCAGTCTGCACTCACTCAATCCGAATGCTGCTACATTGGCAGCGCTTCAGGCAACTTCAATACAGCACCAAGCTTCGTTGACTACCGCAGAGGCCACGAATATAGAAGATATCGTAAAACAGCCGTACGACAACATTCTATATTCACAACTAACTAAAGAGACTGGATCGTCGTCGGCTCGAAGCCTGTCTTCTAACGAACAGAACCAAACTGAACAAAATGATTCGGCCACAGACCCAGTGGTAGACCCTGATGTAGAAAGCACCGGAAAACCTGAGGATTTGTCTGCTAAATCGGTTAAATCAACTAGCTCTACCCCTTGTCCGACCATGGCATCTCCGAATCTCGTTATTAGTAGCCGTGATCATACTCCAGAGCTTTGCACTGCGGTAAGCAGTCGATCGCCGTCAAATCCAGGTAGCACAGAGTTAAACAGCACCTCATGCAGCGCTGGTGAAGATTGCAAAAATGTTCTGAGCAATATACTGTATAAAATTGGGAGTATCAATGTAGATGCGTCACAAAACGCCACTACGCCTGTAAGTCCTGAATTGGGCTGTGAGTCAGAGGCAAGCTTCACTAGCGATACTCATCCCCATAATAATAATGATGTCAGTGCCAGTAACAACAATAATAACTCTAATAAAACAGACGAGGAAGAACGGGGCAAGTACGTGGACTATGCGACCGACATTGAAGAAGTAGAAGCCATAAGACACGGCGAAAAGTTCCTACAGTGGCTGGAAAACTGTAGTAATCCACGCGTTACAGCCGTTCAACTGATGCAACTTAGATTCCTGATTGCAGCTATCAAGTCAAGCAGTGATACACAAGCGGTTACCAGACCCGCTGTCACTTGCTCTGATGAAAATGAAGACAATTCTCATGAGGATGCAAGTAGAAACAAAACTCGTCGCCGTAAATAGGACAAGCCGAAGTTGGCACCTCTGGAGCCAGCCACGGATACTGTTAAAACTGCGAAGGAGCAGAAGAAAGAAATGATCGAAATAGATACCAAAGTACATGGCCAAGACTTGGGATGGAAGCAATCAAAGGTAGACCTAAGCTTTGCCAGCGGTATTGAATCGCCATTGTCCCTGCTAACAAGATGCCAGCAGTTTTCCCCAGCTGTTTACAAATCGTCTGCAACCCTGCTCAGCTCGTTGATGTTTCCGCCCTACGAATTTGTACACTGTGACCTCGATAATGACCCAGATGACTGCCAAATAACGGGCGAGTACCAACAGTCCGATGAACTCAGTTCGAGTAGTGACGAAAATGTACAGAATGACTTAGAATAAATGATTTCTTCCAACCTATTATATCAATGTATATGTATGTTCAAATTATAGAGTAGATCCTGAGCCAAAACTCACATTTTTATTGTGAATTTTACCATTTTTATTAGATAAGAGTAAAATGTTTCGTTTACATTTACAATTTGTAATGTCTTTCTAAATCCACTATAATTTATATTACCTTTTATGATAAGTAAGAAATAACATTTGTAAAAAATTAATATTTTTTCCATTGGAACACGCTTGATTTTTTTTCTTTTTAAACAAGTATTTAATGTTTTTATACAAATTAGAAAATTGTTAATTCATTCACTTTTTAGTTGAATATCTTAAGCTTATAAAACCATAAGGTGGAGACAGTCAATCATGTGGATTTGATATTATTAGTTACTTTTATTATTAATACTCATGCAAATACTGAATGAAAAAATGTGCTAATAAGAATTTTATCAATTTGAAATTCGTAAAATATTTAAATAAAATGAATTTATAAAAGTAGAAGTTTTAATTTTAACACCTTGTTTAATAAAACATTCGAATTAGACAATTTTTATAAAATGATTTGACTATTTCTTTTGGAGCATGGAACAATTTAGAAATAACAGCAATATATAAATATAAAGGGTAAGTATTCAATTTTGTAGAACACACCGAACAAGAAAAATATTAATTCAGGACAGAAATCGAAAATCAGTATGAGGAGCAGAAAGACCATATTTGGATTCATTAAGTTTGATATATTATATATATTATATATATTCCTATGTCCTGAACTCATTGAACATAGGTAAAAGGCTTTTGTGTCCGACTCCATAAAATATTTAAATATTCTTAATCAAGTCGATATAGTCATCTCCGTCTCTCCTCTGTATGTTTCTATTAAAACTAATTTCTTAGCTTTAATACTATCGTGTTGAAACTTAGCATGGGTGTAACAGTTGAAGGCTATACAGACACACAAAAGCAATAAGTAGGAAAATACTAGGTTTATATTGAAAAATTATTTCAAATAAATGCCTATTACCAAAACGACGAAAAATGTGTGCAAAGTATAAAAAATTGCTTGTTAAGCCAATAATTATGTGAGTGTCTGTGTGTAGGAACCGTCCGGATTGGAATTTCTTTGTATTAATGTGCTTGTTATATATGAGCCAAATCATTATCAATATCGTAGTAATGCGTAAGTGCTCGAATTATGAATTTTTGTATGAAAAATAAATATTATATTTTCCAAGATATATTTTCCAAAATCATTATATACGAGCTTCACCATTCTCACCTATCTGCGAGTCCGTGGGGTAAACGTCTACAAGGATATTAATTCAATTCACTGTATGGCTGTGAGATATTTAGCGTGACATCGCTGCATTTGTTGGTAGAATGCTGCGGGTATCCCCTAGTCGGGCACTCCCGAACAGAGCACTCTTACTTGTTTATACACTGAAACCTTTCAAAATGGGTAAGCTGGTTTTGTACAAATGAATTTAAGAGGTAGCATAGCATATTCGACCACAAAGTATAGTTAATCTAGCCATTTTTAACTATACGTATGTATGATAATGATTACGTCGATCTGAGAGCTAGAGACTAGAATGTTGAAAATTATGTTCTAGATTCTGCATTTTTAATTTTTTAAGGCGATGGCAAATAGTTCGGTTGGAATAAATTTTATTATTTCTGAATACTTATTATTTCCATAAAAAGTAAAAGTGAATTTTAGGTTACAGCTTGAGCAAGCGAGCGCGTTGCGCGAGCTGCTGCAGGTTTTGCTAGAAGAATGTTCAGGGAATACTCCAATCAAAAATCACTAAAACCTTTCAAAATAAGTTTGAGGGGTATCTGATCACCTTTAAACTCAAAAACATAACGTTTAATATACTGTGAAATACTCAGCTTTCTTGGTTTCTCAAATAGTTTAATTTGTGATAGTAATAATAATTATATAGGGTATTATTATCTTGCCAATTATTTTACCCACTTAATAAATAGATTCTTAATCACTATCAACAGCCGCGTCAGTTAAGCCATGTTAATTTAAAGGCTATCGTCATGAAAATTGGTATATGTCCGTTTTATAAAATTGATCTTTAATGGGAAAAAGTTATAGAATACAAGATTAAGATATTCGTTATATATCAATTGTACCAAGCAAGAAATGAACCCAACATCAAGTTATGAATCAATATTTTATCTTATACAGAAAAACCAGTCATTAATTAAGAATAGTGCTCTAGTCACATATTGCCAACTGAATACTTGTTTAATCAGTATAACATAGTTTAGGGCATAAGAATGGTTTTAAGGCTAACTACGAGAATTAACATTTCAGGGTTCACTTTCCAGTCTACAAGAAGACGGATTTATATAGGATAGAATTATTTAGTACATTAAAAACTTTAGAAACTCAAGATTTCCTTTGTCGGTTAAATATATTATACAGGTTTTTACAATGTGTTGAGTGTGTTGCATTCTTATATTGTAACATAGTTGATAGCCAAAAAACAAATCGTTTGACAACATTTTGGAAACGTTTAGATCGGTCGTAATATAAAAAGTTGTGCTGTACTTTGTTTCCTTAAAATCAATTTTAGTGTCGATTTTTTAACCTGTCAAATTCAATTCACAACAAAATTTTATGTTAGTTATATAAGCAAATTCAACTACGAGCAATGTAAAAGAGTTCTAAACAGAAAATGTAAATAATATTTTTGGGTCCTAAATAAAAGTGGGCGTTATTAATAATTTGACCTGGCCGATTGCACTGTTGATACTGATCAAGAAAATATATGACTATTTAACACCCTATTTTTGCCCAACTTCAAAATGAATATTATATATCGACTAAATTAGTTTTTATATCTAAGACAAGGAACTACACGATGAAATTAAATAAGCATGGTCCCAAAAGATGAATTATGCGAAACGTTATAACGCTTTCTTCTATCTTTCCAAATAGATTGCATTTGTATCAGTTTTGTATGAATCGGACTGGTCTTACCAAATTTGTTTGATCCTCCATTGGCTCATATTGAACAAAATCGGCCACAAATTTAGCAATTTCTTCAACACTTGAAATTAGCTCTGGATAAGCAAAAGCAGTCGGCCTTATTGTGGTGCATACGAACTTCTGGGAGTATATGTTTTAATTATCTTATATTGTCTAATAAATAAGTATTGTCCAAATAATTTACCTGTACTTTACATTCGTTAGGCAATGCCAGTACCATTGCACGTCGCCGGGGATGACTCAGAACAAACTGCTTGCGGAAATTTTCGGCATAGAGCAACAAGAGGCGCTCTTTTGAAGATAAAGTGTAGTATGATGGAGGAAAGCATTTGGGACTATCCTGGAATTCTTCAGTTGTCTCGGGAAATGATAGATCAATTCTTCCAATTTGAATCGCTGGGTCCCCTTCTGATAAACTTAATTCGCTTTCCACATATTCAAATTCACTTTCCTCTTCCTCCATCTCTTCTTCAAATCCATATGACATTTCCAGCTCTTTCGTTCGCCGTTCTTCGATTTCTTTTAGTTTGGCAGCATGTTTGTTCGGGTCTATAGTGCCCGAAAACTTCTTGTATTTTTGGAATAATACTTTTGGCATGTTTAAGCTGTTTTTCCTTTTGTGTTTTCTGTTCGCAATAAATTTTTGTTATGTTGCTATAACAACGTGGAAACATTTAATAGCGGAATAAATATATTTTTTTTTATATTCACTGCTCCGGTTATGTTTGACTAAAAAAGCGGAGTACACATATTTTTGAATGTATATATGTACATACATACATGTATAAATACATATAAAAGAGTTTTTCCTGACTGACTGATTGATGAGGTTAGGGTCAATTTATACTCCGTGTGCACTATGAGGACCATCGTTCAATATTTCTAGTCTCTAGCTCTTATAGGTTTTAACACGCTTAAATGCATATGAACAGACGGACGGACATGTCTAGATGATTCCCTTTGCCTGCTACAAACATATGCACAAAACTATTATAACCTTTTTACCAATTTTCAAATGGTTCAACCAAATAGTTGTGCTTTGCGAACGCATCCTCCTAATCCCGTGTGCCTTATATGTCTTAGTATCGGAATAGTACACGAGAACTCGCAGGTTCGCATCCAGCATCAATAAAAATAACAAAAAAGATAAGTGGGCAAAATAATAAATAGGTGTATAAACAGGAGTAATGTACATTCTTACAAGCATCCACCCTCTTGGCCACTGAAGGTGTGGCCTCTACCAAATAAAGATTCCGCCTACATACACATATACATACTATTTAAGATCTTCTATTGTCGTTAAAAAACAAACCAAAGCTAGAAACGTTTAATGCACGACAACTACATTTCTGCAAAGCTGCAATTGTCTTTCAAATTAACTTAACTAAATCTCATCTGCTTAATAAGCCTTCAAGTTGATTTCTTGTTCTTTAAAAAAGTCAATAGCACATAATTTTTATACCCTTGCAGAGGGTATTATAATATTGTTGTAAAATGGGTAACGCATAGGAGGACATCGTTGAAGGCATTCTTTCCCTGAAAAAGCGACTGAGGAGGGACTACGTCCGTACCCAGGACACCTGAATCGACAGGATCTATCGCCGTATCGCCAACAGGGTCAGGAAGGAGTTAACTTTACTGAGAAGAAAAGCCACAGACACCATGCTGGAGGAAGCAACGGCAGACGAGAGCTCCAAATTCGCGCTGTGGAAACTTACCAAAGTTCCCCGTTCGACATCCCGATGGCACCTGGGCCAGATCGCCAATGGACAGAGCCGAAGCCTTCGCCTGCAACCTAGAGGAGCGCTTCAAGCTGTTTGAGACCGCATCGCATGGAAGGATACAGCGAGTCGCGCAAATCCTGGAAGCGCCACTCCAAATGTCACTCCCTGTATCACCAATCACCTTCCAAGAAGTGAAGCAGGAGATAAAGAGCTTAAAAAGCAACGAAGCCCCTGGGGAAGATCGGTTGGACAACCAGACAATTAAGCTTCTGCCATACAAGGCGGTACTTTTTCTCGTCGCCATTTTTAATGCAGCTCGTCGGCTAGGTTACTTTCCAGTCGCTTGGAAGAAGGCACATATCATCATGTTGCACAAGAGTGGAAAGCCACCTAATCAACTGGAATCCTATCTCCCCATCAGCCTCCTGCCTGCCTTTGGCAAGATTCTGGAAAGGTGCATCCTAAGAAGGATCCTGGATACCCCGGAAATAAAACGCTTAATCCCGAAGTTCCAGTTTGGGTTTCGACTCAAACACGGTACCCCTGAGCAACTCCATCGGGTCACAAACTTTTTTTTGGACGGCTTTCACAGGAAAGAGTATGTTGTGGCAGCATACCTCGACATCCAACAAACCTTCGCCCGGGTGTGGCACGCAGGACTCCTCTCCAAGATAAAGGGCAAATTAAATCCGCAGCTCTTTAACATCATTGCAAGCTTCCTGAACGAGAGGACATTTCGAATGGTACTGGATTTCGTAGCCTCTCATACCAAACGCATAAGAGCAGGCGTTCCACAAGGTAGCGTTTTGGGTCCCACACTATACATACATCCTCTTCACGCACGATATGCCCACGGCAAGTGAAATGGCCCTTGTCAGTCGGCAGGATCTCCTGGTGGCTACGTTTGCTGATGACACGGCAATCCTTGCCAAGAATAATTGCGTGTACGAAGCAACGGACATACTGCAGGAAAATCTGAAGCGCTTCGAAAACTAGGCTTGTAGGTGGAATATCTCAGTGAACCCTCAAAAATGTGCCACGGTCACTAACACCCTGCGCAAGGACTCCAGCCCCGGACTTTTTCTCCATGGCGAGCTCTTAGAGCAGGTGCGTGACCATAAATACCTAGGGATCACACTCGACACCCGACTTACGTTCAAAAAACATGTCACCGAGGTTACCAACAGCTTGAAAAGCAAAATCAGGCGTCTGAGCTGGCTGCTAAACCCAAATAACAAACTCTCGCTCCGAAACAAAGTACTTATCTATAAAGTAATCCTTGCCCCTGCGTGGCGATATGGGCTCCAGGTTTACTGAATTGCCGCGAAGACGCACCTAGACAAACTTCGCATCATCCAGGCTAAGACCTTGCTAAGACCAATCTCGGCATTTATTATTATTTTTACTATGCTCCTCATATATAAGCAAAAACCTATCAACATCGAACCACTATATCATATAGCTGCCATAGGAACAATCGGTCAAAATTAGGTTGTTGTATAAGAAAATGGTTATGTTTTTCACGATATCTTGACCAAACTTGGCATTTATTAGTTTTACTACGCTCCTCATATAAATGCAAAATTATATCAAGATCGGGTTACTATATCATATAGCTGCCATAGGAACGATCGATCAAAAAATAAATTTTATGAAAATTTTTTTGTTATTCAAGATAGCATTTATTAGTTTTACTATGCTCCCTCCATTTATGCAAAATATTATTCATATCGGACTACTATATGATATAGCTGCCATAGAATCGATCGGTCGAAAAGTAAGTTACTGTACGGAATAATTATTTGTTTTTCAAGATATCTTAGCCATTCTCGGCATTTACTATTTTCCCTGTGCTTTTTAGATATGAGCAAAGCACTATGAGCATTATGAAAAGGTTGGGTCTGCAAGGGTGTTAAATCTTCGGCGTGCTGAAGATAGCCCTTCTGTCTCGATATTATTAAAGGTTTACAGACCGCAGAAATTTAAATTGATAAAAATGATTTGTTTTATTATTTTTTACTCCGATAAAGCATTAGAAATAATAAAATTTGTATCTCTCCCAGAAGTGGCTATTTCCCAAAACTGGGTTTGTCCCATAGCTAGACTAAAGATGGGCGTTCGGCTATGAGAGCTTTCCCTGCGTTTTATTATATAAAGTTTTATTACATTTTCGAGTAAAACATCTTAGTCACTGAAAGAATATTTTATGTTCGGGTTTTTACGGTAGGGGGCGGCTGTTAACAAGTTAAGCATCAAATTCAAAAGTGGCGCCATCTTAAAGAGTTTACGGCAAAGTAATAATTACAACGAATTTGGCATCACTTTTAACATTATTAGTCAAATTCGTTAATTTCTTAAGCACTCCCATCTTTCCATCAACTACGTTGGAAATAATAAAAGGGTTGCTTACTTTAAACCCCTGATAATCGTTCTTAAAAACTCTAAGGAGAGAGCAATTTTGAAAGCGAATATAAATATTATTTACCAAAGTGTTGATAAAACTTTTTATAAACTGAACCCATTGAAAATGGGTAAAATGGGTATAATGTATAGTGTATATAATGCATCAACAGCCGAGTCGAAGCCATGTCCGAATGTCTGTCCGTCCGTCCGTCCGTATGTATGAACGTGAGGATCTCAGAACCTAAAAGAGCTAGAGACTTGAAAAATTTTAAAATTATCTGTAGGTCCTCCTAGTGTCTGGGCAGTACGAATTTATTTCCGATATTCGATAACTTGCTCCGTTTCCAAGTAATCGATCGATATCGAAATCCTGTCTTATTATAACATAATTATTTACAAAATTACCTTAATAAGCCTTCGTTTAAGAGATTACGCATTGAAATCGATTAGGAGAGATGACGAAATCACTCAAATTTAAATCTAAATAGATTTTTATCGATGCATATGATTTCTTTGCGAAATGAGGCTCGAAATTCTGACTTTAAAATCCTAGGAATGCCCTCAAAATTAATTTGGCTAGCTGTTGGATTTTGAATTATCAGATAATAATATATATTAAAAAAAGTTTATTAATTTGTTACTTAAGGTATTACCTGTTATAAATGTTTAAACTATTATTTTGTTAACTTAGTCAGAATTCTAAAAATGGTTCAAGATTGATGTCTAACGGTATTTTAATCTGATTCTCGTAATTGCTCATTATGTTATAATTTCACAAATCTTGACAAAGTCGCTCCCTAGAGTTTAATTGTTGGGCTGCGCTCACTTAAGTAGGGAATAAAAAAGTCCAAGTGGGAAATTCGACCCTTAAATAAATATTAAACTTAGATGGAATCACTATACATGCTATTAACTAAATAGTATTCTAATTTAATTTCTTAAATTTTGACGGTTTAATACATTTTTTTTTAAAAATACTCGCTAGCCATTTTGTAAATAAAATCATAGTATTTAAAATGTTTGTTTTTCTTTTGTGGCTTTAAGCAAGCCAAAGCTAGAAATGTTTAATGCACGACAAATACATTTCTGCAAAGCAGCAAATGTCGTAAAAAAAAAAATTAACTAGATCTCAGCTGAGCTAATATGCTTGAAAAGCCAACAAAAAACAAATTTAACTTGAGTTATATATACTTATTTACAAATACTGTTATCGTTCCCATAACCTGACATATTTCGTTTGTGCAAGCTTTACAATAACTGTACTGTAATTGCTATTCATATTATTTATGTGTTCGAAAAAGCTAAGTTGTTGGTAACTGAAATTGTGAAGAGTTAAACCTTCTTTTTTAATAACAACTATACATAAAAAGCTTTAGAAAAAATTAAAATTTGTGTCCTCTCCCAGTAGCGGCTATCTCCTATAACAGGGTTTCTCCCATAACTAGTTGGTTTGTGGAAGCTTTCCCTGCTCTTTATTAAATAAAGCTTTTCCAACATTTCGGCAGCATTTTATGTATATCTCTACATGTTCCAATAATACAAGTCAGCCGAAAGAATAATTTTATGGTCGGGTTTTTACGATAGAGGGCGACTTAAGCATCAC